GAAATAAAAGCCCTGATTGATGTATCTATCATACCCCATCCCTTGATATCAGTCATTGGCTGCCTTTGTTGCCAAGGAAGAAAAACACACTAAAAGAAATAAATACTGCTTATTTATCCCACTTATTGGTGGGAGCTCTAGTAGCATAGTGGCTAAGACACTTGCCTGCTAACCAGATGGCTGGCGGTTCAAACCCACCAGCCACTCCTCGGAAGGAAGGTTGGGCAATCCTACTTCCGTAGTGATACTGCCTCGGAAACCCAAGGAGGGGTCGCTATGAGTCGGGGCCGACTAGACGGCACATAACAACAACAACAACATAGTAATTGGTAGCAATTCCAACATATGATAGGGATGAAAAATAACCAATAAAAAGAAGATTTTTGGAAGTCATGAATAAACTACCATGGGAAATTGAGTAATCCTGTTAATAAACTCTTATTTGGTTTTAGATTGTTTTCGTGGAACATAATTATGCTTTCATATGAGCACATTATCCCATCAGTTGTTTTTTTCCCTCATCTCTGTTTTTGTGTATGAAAACTATCCTTGTATTGAAAACTGTTGTATATATTCATGGAACATTTTAAAAAGTGCCTTCAGTAATAAAATGCATTAGTTATAGCTCAGGAAACTTTTTTTCTTAAAAAGTCTGGGGCTAAAGTAAATGAAACTTTAACCCTCAATGGGGGAGGAGTCTCCTAAGTTGTCAGCCTTGATTAGTAACTACTTATTCTAGGTACTTACAAATTTTATATCAACCTAACTAAAAGAGGAACCCTGGTGGTGCAGTGGTTCAGCCTCGGCTGCTAACCAGAAGGTCAGCAATTCAAACCCACGAGTGGCTCTGTGGGAGAAAGATGTGTCACTCTGCAACCATTAAGATTACACAGCCTTCCCTACAGGGAAGTTCCACTCTGTTATAGGGTTGCTATGAGTTGTAATAGACTTAATGACAACAGGTTTGAATTTTTTCTTCTTTTTTTTCAATTAAAAGAAATGCTGAAGAATGTAATCAGAAACTAAAATATTAAGCCTAGAAGGGCTTAATACTAACATTATATTGTTACATCATATTATATTCTACTGTATCAGATCAGTTATTGCAAAGGCTAGCATAGTCATATATAGCATATATGCAAAGTCATATAGCAAAGTCATAATTTCTTGCCCATAAATCAGTGGAAAATTCTGAAGAAATTGAAATTAAAAAGGATATTTTATATATGTTGTTTTTAATCTGCAAAGGTTATGAATATTTATATGACAGTTTATGCAGTTCAACATTTGCTTATTGAGAATCATCCAATGCATGAGATATTTCGCTTGGTATGGGAGTTTACACTAGTGAGAAGATCTCACACACACTGCCAAAGGGACAGGGAGGCCGCATCTTCTAACCTCCTCTAACCCCACAAGAGGAAGACAGAATCACCATTAGTAGCCCAAGGCCTATTCCTGCGAAGCCAGACATGCTGCCTCCCTCCAGCCCTTTCAAAAACCCTGACACCAACCATTCCTCCCACAGCACCCACTACCTCTCTGCTGGGTTCAATAATTCGTTGCAGTGTCCACACAGAACTCACAGATTATGGGGTTTATTAGAGAAGCAACAGGCTATAATTCAAGTTCAAGAACACTCTTAGTCTCTCTCAGTCCACCATCTCTCAGCTGACAGTCTCTCTCAGTCTCTCTCCCAGCACTGCGTGTCTCTAAGTCTCTCTCCCAGCAGTGCATGTCTCTTGGTGTCTCTCTCTCAGCAATGTGTGTCTCTTGTGTCTCTCAGCCATCAGTGAGAGATTCCTTCTGCCTCTAGAAGGGCTCCTTTTGAGCTTGGCAGAGTGGCCAAACTAACTAGTCCCAACATCAGAATTCTATACATCTGAGAAAGAGAGAACTTCCCAGAAGATTGCTTCATGCCACTCTCAACAGAAATACCCTAGGTGGTAACGTTAACAATCAGGAGCTACTCAGTTGCTCATGGCAAATTCCACCATGGAGTTTACAGAGACTTATGGCTAGAAAAGCTACACTATGTAATTTACTACACTGCAGGCCACCCCCTGGATTTTCTAGCCATTATCCCTTTTATACGTCAAACAGTAACATCCCCTTCACCATCAGTTTAAGAATAACCACGCCCATGGGAGCATATAAGCCAGCCAATTCATGCCTTTATCTTCCCCCATTTTAGATAGCCAATTTCTAATTTGCCCATCCCTATCAAACCATTACTCTGAGGAGATAGGCATGTTCCTTTCTCTCTGGAGAATCTTCTTTTCTGCTTGAAAATTTGGGGCATTGCCACCATAAAAAAGCAAAGTCCAGCCCAGCACAAGCCATCAAATTGCAGCAACTTAACACTAGCTTAGTGTCAAACATCTTCCTCTTCTGTTGGTCGGGTTCTGGTCAGCTCAGCCCTAGCCATCCCAGCTAGGTCATGGGTTCCAGCTGGCAAATTTAGGAGTCAACTCTTCCCTTCATTTCAGACCAGACAGCAACTCCTCTCACATCCTCAGTCCTCAGGGACTATTTCAATGACTGTAGGCTCACAACTCCTTGCACTTCAAACCAGTCATTCTTCCTCTCATCCCCAGCCTCCATGGCTTATGTCAAAGAGTACCAAACTCTGCTGCTTTCTTCATTGCTGTTCTTCCCCCATTTCCACTCAGGTAAACCCAGGTGGTCACAAGCAAGTAGCATACAAGTCTACTACTCACTGGCTTCTTTTAACTTTCAGTCCTGGACCATTGTTGTTGTTGTTGTTATGTGCCATCGAGTCAGGCCCGACTCATAGCAACCCCTCCTTGGGTTTCCGAGGCAGTATCACTACGGAAGTAGATTGCCCCATCTTCCTTCCGAGGAGTGGCTGGTGGGTTTGAACTGCCAGCCTTCTGGTTATCAGTCAAGTGCCTTAGGCACTATGCTACCAGAGCTCCACCATGAGCCATGACTTTCCTATCTCAATGCACCCAAAACCTCTCTGCTTGCTTGAAATTCAAAAAACCAGGCTTCCCTGCCCCCTTCAGGTCCTTTCTTCAAATTCAAATCTTCTGTTCCCTCAGTAGTTATGGGTGGGGCTTATAATAATACTCTGCACACAGGGCTTGAAACAAAAGCCTGCATTTCTTCTGGGCGAATTCTATTTATCCTTTTAACATATCCAATCAAGTATTGGCTGAAGGTAGACTTACACACTCTCCATTATCCATATCCATAATCATTTCTAATGTACAAGTGGGTAAGAGAACATTCAATCCCCTGGTACATTCTGAGAAACACATAAACCAAAACATTCCAGGTTCCTCTCTTCACCCTGATTACCTTCCCATTCTGTGAATATGGCCTTGGGCCTTTGGCTGGGTGTAACCAAAAGACCTAGCCTCTGAACCAATTATCTCCTTTAATAGGTAACACCAACCAAAGTAACCATCTAAGAATCCAAAGTTTCATTTTCCAGGCCCCTTCCTTCTTTGTTTTACAAAATCCCATGCTTCTATGAGTCTGGAGCCACTGCAACAAATTCCACTGCTTCTGACACAACTGCCAAAAGGGCAGGGAGGCCTCATCTTCTGACCTCTAAACCCACAAGAGGAAGACAGAATCACCATCAATAGCCCAAGGCAATTCCTGTAAGGCCAGACATGCTGCCTCTCTCCAGCCCTTTCAAAAACCCTGAGACCAACCATTCCTTCCACAGCATCTACTGCCTCTCTGCTGGGTTCAATAATTCGCTGCAGTGGCCACACAGAACTCACAGATTATGGGGTTTACTACGGTAGCAACAGGCTACATACAATTCAAGTTCAGAAACACATATAGTCTCTCTCAGCTAACAGTCTCTCTCAGTCTCTCTCCCAGCAGTGCATGTCTCTCAGTGTGTCTCTCAGCAATGCATGTCTCTCACATCTCTCAGCTGGCAGTGAGAGATTCCTTCTGCCTCTGCCTCTGCCTCTAGTAGGGCTCCTTTTGAGCCTGGCAAAGTGGCAAAACTAACCAATCCCAACATTAGAATTCTATATACCTGACAGAGAGAGAACTTCCCAGAAGATTGCTTCATGCCACTTGAAACAGAAATACCCCAGGGGGTAATGTTAACAATCAGGAGCTACTTAGTTGCCAATGGCAAATTCCACCACAGAGTTTACAAAGACTTTTATGGCTAGAAAAGCCACACTATGTAATTCACTATACCACACACACATATGCATACATACACACTCACATACTAGAAAACAATTTTGGAATTGATTATAAAAGTAGGTGTGTATGAAGTACTATGGGAACCAAGGGAAAGTGTTATATTCT